GTGTTGTCCTCCTAAATCACCTCTCAGGATGGTAGTATCTGGCCTTTGACAGTGCTGCAGACTGAATATAGCAAAGGCCTCTCTCCATTATTGACTTGTGAAAGCTATACACCTGCCAACCTCCCTATGCACGCTCCTAATTGTTCATTTCTTCCTTCTTGCCTCCGATGGCCTGATATAAGACACTGGCAAGGAAGACAAAAAAGGATAAGACAAGTCCTTTTTCATCCCAACCTTACATGCACTGGTCTATAGAATCACACAGCTAAAAAACAATGTCTACAGTTTATAGCACACAATACAGCACTCTGCAATTTACTGGAACAATGTATATATCTAAAGTCTAACCCGACCTGAGCACATTTAACAACCCATACACCAAAGTGATTTGATTTCAGACAACTACACAAAGTTCAATCATAGTACAGTGGAGCAGAGTTAATTTATAAGATTTTAGTGGAGCTAGACAGAGCTAAGAGAGTTATGGTATAGTGATTTCAGGTAAATGATATGAGAAAATCCATGTTTGGTTTTGCCTGAATTGTCCTTACGATTATGTCCATCATCCACATTGGGTTAATGAGATGCTTCGAAGAATCTTAGAGACTGTCTCCCTGAATCAGGAAGAAACAGGGGTTTAGTGAAGTCAAGTGATTTGCTCAATAGACACAGCTGGTTAGCGGCAAGGCCATGCTTAGAACCAGCTCTTCTGCCTTTGCAAGTATTTGTTTTATTCTTACAACTCGACATTAATTTCAGACCATAGATGAGATTCGGGAATATATGAAGGGGCAGCTGATAGAGACTGGGAGAACTGTGTGAGGTCCCAAGGTGCCTGGTTTGAAGGCGCCATTGTGCTGTATACAATGATTCTTGTATCTTGTACCTTCTTCAGTAAATGTCTCTATTTTTCATAGTACACGGATGGATACTTTCTGGACACAGCTCGATATATGTATGCTGGGGGTTCTTCCAGTTCTTAATTTCTGGTTAATTAGGCAACTACGAAAAAAACCTCAGCTTTACTCATCCCCAAATTTAATAGTCGTGGGCAGGAGGTAAGATTTAAGTTTCATCAGTCTTACCTATCACCACATAGCTGTCAACTTGTGAAAATGAAAACTGGAGAGAAAAATACTTTAAGAAATAAATTGGCAAAGAAATAGCTCATCAGCAAGCCTTGTCAGCTCTACCTACAAGATAGATCCCTAATCTTTACACTAGTTCTCTTGTCTTTCCTCTAGATTACTGCACCCCAATCAGGGTTTCCCAGGTGATACTCTCTGCCCATCCCCGCTCAATCTCTGAAAAATGTGTAAGAGATCAGGTCTGTCTGCCCAAAGCTCTCCAAAAGCTTCTCACCACACTTACAATAAAATCCAGCTCCCTACAATGACCCTGAACTCCCCATCACCCCCTATTCACAGGCAGAACGGCCCGTGTAATATGGTCACTACCTACCTCCCCAATGTTGTCTCGCTCCCAGAACTCTGAAGGTCACTATGTACTCTAACCCCACAGGCCTTTGTTCTGGTCCCGTTACACCCAGCTCCTCCCCACCAGGGCTGTTTCCTGGACTTGGAGCGCTGTGACCCCATATTTTTCCATGGCTGACTCCTTCACATCAGGAGCAGCCCCTACAACCCATTTTAAAGTAACACTACACACACACCATCCTATCATCCTGTTTTGTTTTCATAAATGTACCTGTGTCTGAAATTATGTTGCTCATTTATTTGTCCTGTGTAACAACCCATAACCCCCAACCCTCTGAATATACACACACTTGCAGGTAAACTCCTTGGGAAGGCAGATATTCCTTGCTGAATCCCCAAAGCCTAAAATGGTACCCAGGGGATGCTCACTGTTTATCAAATGATAGATTCCACCGATCCCAAACTTTCCCAAATCTTGTTTCTGCCTTGTATGCCTAGCACTTGTTCACTATCACTTCTCTTTGGTCTGTTCTCTTTTTGGAATTTCTTTTGGTCTTCATTCTGGTTATTGCAACACTAGGAAAACAGAAAAAGGAGCATAAAAAGAAAGATGTGAATGGCAATAGAAACCCAGTAGCCTATGCTACTGGCAGGGGGGTAGAAGGACAAGTGAAGTGCAGCAGCATCAAAAGGAATTATGGAGTTGGCCTGTCTGTGCCCTAAAAAAAAAGTATCAAATGCCCTATTGATACCCAACTTTTAATGTGCAAAAGATTCAGATGCAATTGATTTACATAAGATCTGGAAATCTGCACCTTCAAGCAACACCCCCAGGTGATTCTGATACAGGCAGTCTTTGGAAACCTTGTACTCTTTTGCAAAACAAGGAATAGCAAGGGCCTGAGGGATGGTATTATCAGTAGTATGACTTAACCAATAAAAAATATTTTTATTCCTACTTTGAAACGGATTCTAAAGACAAGTCGAATTCCATTTTAATTTTCGGTAACTATAAGGGGGGGACCCCAAAAAAGCCAGAGTTTATTTATTCAAAAATTGTGTATTTATTCATACATATTTAAACTTCAGCTACCTTCAAAGTACTCTCCATTTGATGCAATACACCTATTGAGACTTTTTTCCACTGCTCAAAAGTTTTTTGAACTAGTTGATTTTGCGCCCTGTTAGTGATTCTGCTGGTCTTTTGTTTCACCACTTTTACATCAGCAAAATGTTTCCCTTTGAGGACTTTTTTCACATGGGAAAACAAACAAAAAGTCACTTTGGATGAGATTAGGTGAATGGAGGGTGGAGCATTGGGGTCATGCTGTTTTTGGTCAAAAACTGAACACTTACCGCAGTGTGGGCAGGTGTGTTCAAAAATCACCCCTCATGACATGAGCAGAAGTATTGAAAGAGTCATCAAAAAAAATTCACTGAAGCTGAACACAACCTCTCGCAACAATGCCAGCTGGTACACTGATACAGATGGGTTCCTAGAACATTCCCCTGGTGGGGGACACCTGTACTATAAGGTGCCCACCTTCCAGAAGATAATACCGGGCTTTTTTGAGGGTCTCCCCTTGTATTATTTAAATTCATTGGTCTTTACAGCTTTTAACCATTTTATACTATAGTGATAGGTATTATAGGACAACTACAATGTTCTACATGGTACCCCAGTGTTGTATACATATTACTCCATTTATAGCTAAGCTTCAGTTAAAAAAGTACAGCCAACTTTAAGAAGTGACAGATTCAGAAATCAAACACATCTGTACAATTATGTCACTAAAGTCTGTGCTCCGTGAAGTCTATACCTCCCAATAATCATATATTAGTAGAAGTAAAACCAATAAATAAAAGCCCAGATTTGTATATGAAAAGAGAGTTTTCTCTCAAATATTCCTCACTTTAGAAACTGACTGCCTAAGACCTCGCTGCATAGTGAACTTTGACAGTACATTCAAATACATTAAAAATGGCATGGCAGCCTCTGAAAATGAATTAATCTTAAGAGTCCTTGTCTAAAACAAATAAGCACTGTATCAAAATCACCAAATATTAAGAACTGATTCACTATTTAAAGATCTAACAGTGGGTCTTGAACTGGGCTGATAATCAAGAATCATTTGGGAAACAGCGTAAAAATAAGTTCTAGGCTTCACACTGGTTCTGAATCATAATCTCTGGTGTGTGACCCCCCCCCCAAATCTTTACTTTCATAAAGCTCCCCATGGGCTTCTGATGAGTAACCAGGATGCAGAACAACTGTTAACCCTCATCCCAGCATCCTACAAGGGAATAAACTGAAGATCTAAAGACATAAACGTGGCATAGTAGACTGGAAAATCAATACCCTCCACATTTGGTGTTTTTAATTCCAATTCATGCTACTGGTTTGGGTTAAACTATATGCCCTGCAGATTACTTACCATCCTCACCATCCTCGAGCAATTTAGTCCCTCATCTACAAACTGGGAATAATGGTGTTTATCTCTTGAGTTGTTGTGAGGATTAAGGTAATGCACTTAACACAGTGCCTAGCATTATATAGGTTCATTATATAGGTTTCACAGTGTGCATCACATAGGTTACACAGATTCATAAAAAAAGCATGGAATTTTTAACCGAAAAAGATGTACTAATCCACTCCAAATATGAAATGAACAAGACGCCTATGTTTAACTTTGGAAGTCCAAAGGAACTTTAAACTCCTTACTTTCACAGACCATTGTTTCTTACAGGGTGCCTCAGAATCATCTAGTGAATCAAACTGTCTGGTGACCAGTAACCTGTATTTTTAAAAAGCATCCCCCCTTCCCCTCCCGCACCCCACTGTCAACCTGGTGCTTTTTAGGCAAACCCGGTTTTAATAAACAGTATTGTACAGATTCGGTGACAACAAATGGCCTCCAGAGTCCCGGCAAAAAACGACTGTGCTCTGTAACCAGAAGAGCAGCGTCATCAGACTCTGATGCAAACAACAGCTGGCGACAGCTGTGCAGAGTAGTCACTGTGACCACCAGGGAAGGCCTCAACCCTCTCATCTAAGAAACAAAAAATTATGAAAAGCGCCGTTATAATCCCAGGGGCAGACAGTGTTGCGAAGAAGGCCATGAGGTGCTTAAGCTAACTCAACAGCTACCTTCCCAGGAGTGAAACCAGAAGGAAGTAACCCTGCACAGCTGACCAAGCCCAAGTGGCGTCAAAAGGTTAAGGACCTCCCGGCCTATTCCTCGGGGTGGCGAAAACCCTCAACAGGCTACAAACCACCTGCCGGAAGTTCGTCACCCAAGTCGGCAGGGGATGCCGGGAGTTGTAGTTAATGGGCTTGCTCCTGCGCCCCAGTTCTTTTGTTAAATACGCAAACACCTTGGAGGTGCAGGAAAGGTCGCTTTGTGACCAACAAATCTAATCCTCGCCTTTTCCAGCTGACAGAGGGAACTCTCAGCGCTTGTGCGGAATTTCGCACTACAAATCCCAGCATGCTGTGCAAGGGGCTCGGAGCAACCGGCCACCGTCGTAAGTACGGGCTGCAGCGGTCGGGCGTCTGGCGTAAGTCAAAGCCCACCACGGTCCCCAAGTCCGGTGCTGGTTCCAGGGTCGTGAGTGCAGGGTGTGGGCCGTGCGCGTGCGCTCCCGGAGGGGGCGTGAGGTGGGCGCGCCGGGTATTTTCGGAGGTCTTGACTGCTGAGGTTAACCGCAGCGGTGTCCCACGTTCCACCGGTAGTTGCGGGGCCTGTCTCGCCCGGGGCTGCACGCAGCCCTGGCGGCCACCGGGGACCGCAAGGGGCGGAGGAAAGGAGGGGGCCGGCCACGGCACTCGGAGGATCAGCCTAACATGCCCCGAGACAACATGGCCTCCCTGATCCAACGGGTCGCTCGCCAGGCGTGCCTCACCTTCCGAGGCATCAGGGGCGGCCGCAGCGCTTCTGACCGCGGCGCGGTGCCCGGCCCTGAGGCGCCGATGCCGCCGGGCTTCCCGGAGAACCTTAGCAAGCTGAAGAGCCTGCTGACCCAAGTCCGCGCTGAGGACCTGAATATCGCCCCGCGCAAGGCCACGCTGCAGCCTCTGCCGCCCAACTTGCCACCCGTTACCTACATGCACATCTACGAGACGGACGGCTTCAGCCTCGGTGTGTTCCTGCTCAAGAGCGGCACATCCATCCCACTGCACGACCACCCAGGCATGCATGGCATGCTCAAGGTGCTCTACGGCACACTGCGTATCAGCTGTATGGACAAGTTGGAGGCAGGCGGCGGGCAACGGCAGCGGGCCCCACCGCCAGAGCAGCAGTTCGATCCTCCGCTGCAGCCCCGAGAGCGGGACGCCATCCGGCTGGGCGTGCTGCGCTCGCGGGCGGAGTACACCGAGACCAGCGGCCCCTGCGTCCTTACGCCGCACCGGGACAACTTGCACCAGATCGACGCTGTGGACGGGCCCGCCGCCTTCCTGGACATCCTGGCCCCGCCCTACGACCCGGATGACGGCCGAGACTGCCACTATTACCGGGTGCTGGAACCTGTCAGGGCCAAGGAGCCCTCCGGATCGACCTGTGACCTGCCCCGAGAGGTGTGGCTCCTGGAGACCCCGCAGGCTGATGACTTCTGGTGTGAGGGGGAGCCCTATCCAGGTCCCAAGGTCGTCCCTTGATCCTGCAAGCGCCCGGTAGCTCTGGGCCGAAGACGTGCCCTACTCAGATCTGGGCCTGGCTGCCAGCGACCAATTACAAGGGCTCTCTCCCTACCCCCAGGCTGCCTGGGCGTTGGATCTACTGGAGTGGGCTGTAGTTGCTTCCTGTGGAGTCTAGGGAAGCACCGGCAACTGGACTGCAGCCACCAGGCACGGTTATGGGGGTGGGGTAGGCAGGGAGGCTAGGTTGTTTTCTGGATCTGTCATTGCCACCAGGGTTTTGATTTGTGGGGAGGGGGAGACGAGCATCTAAAGTGCTTCCATTCTAAAGCCATAATGACAGTACTCTTCTCTCTGTTCTCCATTCTGTGCAAGATACACTGAAAGGTTTTCTCCCTGCCTCCACCTTGTTTTCCCTTATGTTCTTACTCCCTTTACTCCGTATTATAACTTTAACTTATTGACTGTGCATGACCCAGCGGGTTTTAATTGGTTTTAGTTTAAGTTAGGTCATTGGTTAAAAACTAGGTTTAAAGAGATGAGCTATTGTCTAAAGTGAGCCGTCCTGTCTGATTAATACATTGTGAAAATTAAATCATTCTTCCAGAGTTGAGGGATCATCCCCAAAACATGACTATGCATGTAGAGGACATGATAATCTTTCTTTCCCTTGCCCAGTAGCTACATCTGGTTTGCTCTAACAGCACCTACTAAGGAATTCACACGTACACATTTCAGGACAAATTGCCACAGTTTATCTTCTCTAAGAGTCTGCAGCTCTGTGAGTTGAGCAGATTTTTCACCTTTAATGCAAAAACTATGTTTACCTGAAGTTACATATTTTTGTCATGGTGTAAGAGGTGATAGGGTAATTGTGTATTTTCTAACCAGAAGATTCAGAGACGCTGAATCTGCATGCTTCCAAACAACTGAATGTAAAACAGCGCTAGCCAGCGGTTGAATTTCATGTCCCTGTTTACTTCCAGTATTTTCCTGTAAAAATAGAGAAAAATGTTAATGACTGTTTCAAATCTTCTCAGCCCTAATGTTCCAGAGGGCTGGTGGTTCTAGCTGTGTTGTTGGCGGCTTCGTTCTCAGAACCCTCTCTCTCCCTCAAGCAGGACAGAGCCAGTGATTGCTCATCCAGTGTGGTTTTCTATAGGAAGAGACAAGCACTGCTGGTCAAGGGTACAGAACTGAGAATTAACTCCACTGCTGGCCATTTTAGGGTTCCAAAATGTGGGCAGAACTTCCCCCACACACCTTCTTGTAACAGTTGAGCTATCTTTGACTGGTTTTATTTTTTGTCATTTTAATAAGCCGAGCAGCTTGGCCCTGTTTACAAACACATTGACACTGTTTGCTTCAGGCTATGGAGCACTATTTCTGTCTTTTTACTATTTATTTATAGGACCCCTTTTTTCACAAACTTTTAATTAAAACTAATTAGAAATAAACACATTAAAATTTACCCAGCTGTTGTCTAAGCCCTGTTTATTGACTTGCCTATGCAGCAGTCCAGTTCTAATATCTATAATAAAGAGAGATTTGCTATTGGTGGAAGGTGTGGACCCTCTAGGAAAAAAATATGTGCCTTTGCTTCTTTATGCATACTGGATTACAGAGCCCCAGAGTGAAGGAATAGCTGTTCCCAGTTTTACAGACAGAATGAAAAAAGGTAAATTCTCGATAAATGAATTTTTTTATTTACAAAAAGAATGCTTATTGAAGGTGATGTGCCACTCACTATGTTATAAAACACAATGGATATAATGCCAAGAATTTCTCCAAGGTTACTAACACTTTATGGTAGCTTCACATTGTGTGGTTTAATATGTCTTGGGGGCAGTTGGAAGTAGTTTTTCATGTGTTCAGTTTGAAAAGAAGTTCTGCATATGCAAATTATGATTTTCTTAGAAAAGTATTCACCAAATGGGTGTTTTTCATAGCACAGTATGAATGTGTTTGGTTATCAATCACATAGCTACCAGTTTTTAATTATATTGTAACAAAAAAATGATTACCTTGTTAAGATTGTGGATAGTAATCTGCATGTTATAATACAACCTGGAGTACATGAAAAATCACAAAAAATGCTGGCAATGGGTCAGAAATAAAGGAAGAATTTTTTTCTCCAAACTTCACAATGAAAGTTTTCAAGTACTCAAGTACAAGCAAACTAAATGAGAAAAAAAAAAAAAAAACGAAACAAAACTAAGGTGCTTTTGAAAAGAAAAACTAAGATTGTTGCAGGCCAAAACAGTAATATATCTCTAGTTGAAAAGGAACAGTGAACTTCTTGGCTCACTAATAAATTCTGAATAAATTAATGGGGAACACAAAATGTAACCTGTTACAGTGAGCCACTAAAAAAAGAATATTCTTACTACAAAGGCAAATGTGCAAAACTTGCACCTTTGTGCATAAACTGTTCGTCATGACTGTCTTCGTGTGCTGCTCTTGTGTTTTGTATTCCTGCAATATAGACTGTTTTAATAACAACTGGGAAAAAGTTGTCTTCCCTGTAAAGACTAATGAGCACAATGATACTAACCACTTAACGTTCCTGTTGAATAACATGCAATAACTTCCTCTCATGGGTAAGAAGTTGTCTGTCTAAATACTTGTAAAGCTTTTTTAACTTTCTCATTATATCAATGGAGAGTATTGTGTACCTGCCTACTACTTTATGAGAAGTGGTTTTTTACTAAGCCTGATTTGCATGGATTGAGTTTATACCAACTGCTATTCATTAATGAAAATGGTGAGCCTCTTTTTAAAGTAATACGTGTTTGTCTACAGGAGTGGGTTCCTTGACCTTTTAACACCAATATCCTTGAACTTCTCCCAAAAGCTTCATCTTTTATTCCTCCTTTTGCATCATCCCCTTGTAGGTGTCTTGGTCTCGGCAGCCCAGGAGGACTCGTCATCACTGGTGTATTCCAAATGACTGAATTTTGTGCTATGGCTCTACTGCTCAATGAAGAAGCAATACATCTTTGATTCAGGGCTCTGCTCACTGCAATTCAACTCTAACCTGAGGGCAGTAACCCTCTTGTAACTCCGGTCTGAACTCCAGACCACTGATCCCTTCAGAGCAGAGGCATCTACTGTCAGTGAAGAAGTCATACGTGAAGTCCCACATAAATACTGAATCTTCAGATCCAGGGGTGTTTATGTTTCTGGATTCAAATTGGTGTACTTATGGAAAATAAAGGCATGTTTGAAATTGTTTAGAAGTAAATTTTATTTGACTAGTGCAAAACAGAAGGAAACACTGCCGTAGTGACTTTATTGTAACTACCTTCAAAGGTTCATGGTCTATACTGTAAGATTGTGTTGTGCTAAAAAAGGGTGACCTGCAGATTCTAAAGTTTATTTCCTTGAGAGTGAGCTTTGAAACAGTCTGAAACATATCTGAAACTATTTAATGTTTAATCCTACTATTTTGCTGCAACAGAAAATATCTTTTCATTTAACCTAAGAAAAATAAGCTAGTACAAGAAAAAATACTTTCATCCACATACAAAAGAATCTTTGGACTTAAGTATGGTCTTTCCTTCTGCAGTAAAATTTGTTTGGACTGGAGGCATTTTAAGGCACTTGGAGTAAAGTTGACCATTCTCTCACACACATTGTATTGGACTGTTAAAATATCACTACAGCTATTTTAAATAAGTATATATCAAGTGAGGTGCCTTAATTTCATAAGCAATTAGGGTATTAAAGTTAAATAGCCTGTTTATGAATAATTTAAGACCTTATTTAGATTTAAAAGATCTATTTTTAATGTGCACTGAACCATCTCAAGTGCATTATGGTCTTTACAGAGTTACTCTCCAGAAGTTTATTTTTAAATAAGAATACCAAGTAGCAGCAGAAGCAATAATACAATTACTCAATAAACCATCGAATATAATCAGGAACCGGCTTGGCTTTATGTTTCTTGAGTAAAAAATGAGACCTGTAAAATGTTTCAAGCCAAAAATAAAATCTGATTAAAGATTGTTGAAATTGAGAAAAGCCACAAGTTTGACTCTGAAACAGTATCTTATGGTATGTTTTACTACTTGACCAGGCTCATGTCAGAGTAAAAGTAGTTATGTAACCAATTTGAGTCATAAAATGTACTTAATCTTCAGTCTGTTGCTTTACATTTTGACTGAAACGGCTCTGAAATTAAAATTTGGCAAGATAATTACAGATCTTATAAACTGTAGGTGTGCTGTATTTTAATGTAATGAAATTTTGGTAGGAGGGAAGACTTCATTAAAACAATTGTCCGAACATGGCATTGTTTTATATATATTAAACAAGATTGGCCAAACAAGGGTGATAGTACACTGACAAGCTAGGAAATAGGAATCTAACAAGAACACCAGTCACTAGAACAATTGACGCTGAAATTTAGAAACTTCCATTTAGTAGTTACAGAAAGAGGTATTCTATGTCTTCAGATTTGGGCAGAGAAGAAATAAAAAGATTAATCATCTCCACGTACTAGCTCTCAAATCCTAATGCTGGTAGGACAGAAAGTAGTTTCCAGGAGTAGCTGTCCCTCTGCTGAAATGCAGGCCATGAATCATCAGCTAGGACACGGGACAGTTTGCAGATGATGGAGCTAAAGAGTGGGCACTCAGGTGTTAACACTCGTGCGGTGTGAACACTTGTGCGGGATCCAGACGCAGTAGAGGAGGCTACATCTTTAAGGCTCAATTTTAGAGAAAGGTGGCTGAATAATGACGATCATTTGCTTTGTGTGATAGACAACTTTTTGGGGGTAGCTTTGTATTTTAAAATTACAAAAGGCTCACTGTAAAATGAACCCTATAATGTACTTTTGCTAATAACCATTATCTAGTACCATGGAGGACATTTGCCTATTCAAATTTTCTTTGAGACTTTAAGGAAGGTGTACACCTATGGTATCTAATGAGCTGAGTATATCAGTAATCTTAGACCCACCAACCATGGCAGATTTTAATGATCCTTCCAAATACAGGGGTACTCGGGGAAAGAAATGAGTCCCGGGTAATTCCTTTGGCAACCCATGAATGCTGTCATCGGCATGTCTGTGAATGCGCTTTTGATCTGAAGAGGTGATAGCGCTTTTCAAAAAGTTTTGTGTGGTCATGAGACTAATCCAAGAACCTGAAAGTCATTTCCAGCTTGACCACACCACCACACTTTCCACAAAGCTACATTTGGTCTTGAGTTGTCGGCCCTGGCCAGGGCCCTGAAAGCAGTTGCAAATGTGTAGTCTCCGAGTGGGCACTTGTTTGTAAGTATTTATTTTCCAGAGCCCACTCAGGAGCAGAGAGAATCTATAGGCTGTGATGGAGGACGGAACAATGAGTCAAAACAACGCCTCCCCATTTTTACACTAATGCTTTGGGGAAATCCCCAGAACACTAGCGTTTGATTATGAATGGAGATTGCTTTGGGGTGAGAGGGCTGCTGTTGAAAGGCTAGCAAAGAAAACTTGGATATCCTGGTTTGGTCAGAGCACTAAAAATCACTGGATGAACTATTTAATTCCCACCAGAAAATCTTTTCAGAAATGATTTCTAGAGCAAAAAAAGTATTGTTGAAAAGGATTTATTTACACCATAGTCATAAAACATCCAGTATCTGAACTTTAGTTAGTGGTTTTATGTTAGACTGAATCAATTATGTTTCTACAACTATTAAGAGCTAATAACCAAACAAGTCAGCTCTGGTAACATTATTTACATTCTTATCTCCAGTTTGACTACAAAGGTAACACTTTTAAGTCACAAAACAGAGCATACAAAAATATACTTTCTAAAAAAAATTCCAAATATTAATAGGCAGATATATACAGCCATACTAAACCCAGGGAGTGACGTTCATTTCCATAGTAAGGCAACCCATTTACATGCAGACCCTGTAACATTTGTCTACATCACACAAGGCACCAAGGACACTTCCAACACAATTGCATGCATCCTAGTTTCAGAGAATATATGTACATCTCCTTTTAAATAAGTTAACCTCTGACTCATTTCAAGAGGTTATAAATGCTTTTTTCTTTCCCAAAGGTTCAGAACTTGGAGAACAGTGCACATCAAAAATACACAAAATCTGAGTGGATATACACTGCAAAAATAGTCTACGTTTCTCAACTCAAAAAGGAGCAGATATTGCTATGTCCCTCCTGTATCACATTGCACTTCTGTTCTCTGAGTTTATAATACATATTGCTTAAAGGGTTGAGAGGACTAGATAAGCTTTGACTCACTGTTCCAGGGCCACGAATGCAGCACAAAGACCATGCTTTAGTCACTGTACAGCATCCCCCAAATAAGTCCCAAGCCATAAAGTGCACATCAGCTTTGCTTCCTGTCTGTGCTGTCCCCACCTGAAGGGATCAGCATCTCCCAACGTACTGTCGAAAACATCTCAGGTCAACTCTGACATTCAAAGTCAACAACCTGCAATTGGTCAAAATGAGAAAGGGGGAGCAAAACCTAGTCAAACAACCCTTTAAAGCAGGGTTAGCCCTCAGCCCTCCAGGCCAAGGACCCCCACCAAACCCCCTTAAGAACCTCCCAGTGACTTGGGGGTGATTGATAGTCAGCTCACCAAAGAGAGACTAAGATAGGCTAACGTTTAGGAAGGACCTGCTTCTAAGTGGAAAGGGGGGCAGTGCCGGGCTCCACCAAGGCCCTTTGCCCAATGAAGGAAGGCAAGAGAGGGTGGTAGTGTTTGTTGTGCAGTTCCAGTGGACCAAGGGCCTCGGGGCCCTCAAGGAGCTGGTGTGTCAGCCTGAGTCTCTCATCTCAAGGTGTCCTGGTCCTAGAGGAGCAAGTGGCCAGGGAGCCTCCAATAGTGCTGCCGTTGCTGCACAGGGGCACTCCAGCCTGTGCGCCCCCGGTGCACGACGCCGTAGAGACCGTTGGCACCGATGAGGAGGGGACACTGCTTTTGCGCTCCTTCTGTCTTAGGTGGATCTTGGTGTGGCGCTTTCTCTCATCACTCCTGGCAAACTTGCGGCCGCAGTAGTCACAGGCAAAGGGCTTCTCGCCAGTATGGGTGCGGATGTGGGTAGTGAGGTGGTCACTGCGGCTGAAGTTGCGCATGCAAATCCGACACTGGAAGGGCTTGTGCCCGGTGTGGATGCGGATGTGCCGTGTCAGCTCGTCCGAACGAGAAAAGCGCCGGTCACAGCCTTCTGCTGGGCAGGGGTAGGGCCTCTCATGCACTGGCGTCTTGCTAGGCCTGTTTGGGTACTTGCGAGGCCTCAGAATGGGCCGCAGCGGCAGATGGTGGGGGTTATAGGCAGCCGCAGCGACTGCTGCTGCTGAGCTGCTGCCAGGCAGCCGGGGTCCCTCGCTGCCTCCACTGGTCCCTGGCCCTGTAGCTCCAGCACTCGGGCCCCCAAGAGTAAAGTTGCGGATGGTGGAGAGTGGAGTAAGTGGAGGGGGGACTCGCAGGGAGTCCAAGGGGCAGGGAAAGGGCTTTCGGTCTGGGCCAGCTGTACCATGTAGGTCTCTCTGGCACTGTGATGGAAAAAATCCAGGATAGTCTGGGATCATGGGGAAGAGACCTGGGTCCGAGGTTGGCTTAGGGGATGGGTAGGAAGGGGGTGGTGGGTAGGCCAGAGAGGAAGAGGTGGAAGTGGTGGGTGCCGACAGGAACGCTGAAGGGTCCTGGTAGAGGTCTCCTGCACAGCCAGAATAAGGAGGTGGCGGTGGTGGAGAGTACAGGTGGTCCAGGTCAGGCTGGGTCTGGGACATGGTGCACACACCCAGGTGTCCTGTGGCCAGTGGGTTGGGAGAGGCAGACGTGACGCTAGATGAGGCTGTGGTCGAAGCTGGGGAGGTGACCCCTTGCAGGATGCCTGCACTCACAATATTGATGATGCCTTCTGGGTAGCAGCTGGCACCAGCGTACTGGGGATCAATGGAAAACTTGCCCATGTAAGTGAAGGTCTGGTTTCGGGATGCAGAGACGGGAGCAAAACTGCTGGGATATGGGAGATCCAAGGACCTCTTCTCTCCAGTCATGTCAATGTTGATCATGCCATCTGGGGAAAAGGAAGAATGCAGGTGGAATAATGAGAATGCAGCCAAGAATTCATGCCCCCTCTCACACGGGTCCGTTCCCAAGGCCTAGCAACCTAGCACTTCCCCCCAGCACAGGCGGGGAAATTGCTGGCCACAGGCAGTGAGAAGAGCCTGGCCCGATATCCCACTGTGGTAGCCAGCA